ACGGATCTTGCCCGTGTTGAGATTGCGCTGGAACCCCCATTCCCTATACTACTTTCAACACTTCCCGCTCGCCTACGAAGGTTTGTGCTTTAAACCAGGCACAACTAGTCAGATAAAATTATGGAGTCAACTCGGCTTCATTGATTGCTGCCCAGAGTTCCTTTCGGTCCAGTCGCGCAGGCTTGAGTTGGTCGACGACAACATTTTTTGAATTGCAGAATAAAGCTATTTCAAAAAAGGTTGGTAAAAAGGTTTTGTTTCATGTTGCATACCTTTTGCGAATTGAACAATGGACAAATGTGAATCCAGTCATCCCAATGTCAAAACAATATAGATTTTCCTCAAACTTTGCTGATTGATCAAGAAACTTACACTATCACACGATAATCACCTCGAGCGATAATCCAAAATGGCGGCCAGCCGCTTTGTTGCTGTTACCGGAAAAAAAATGCCTTTTATCTTCCTTTTTTTTTTTTTGAATGAATCACCTGTGTACTTATACTAAAACAATTATTTGCCGAAGGCGAAGTGATTATTGGGGAATATTTACCTCGCCGCTCGAGGACTCACGTCTCGGTAAATATTCCCCGATAATCACTTCGCCTTCGGCAAAAAAATTGTTAAAATAATTAAAATTTTCCATGTGCCATTTCGGTCTCAGCTTTTATGTCTATGTTTCTGAACCCGACAACGATTCTTCAATTGAGTGTATAATACATTTCATAATAACATGCAACATACAGCATGCAGCATGCAACACTAAACCTTCACCAACCTTTTTTGAAATAGTTGTATACAGAGATGTATACAACTAGCCAGCGTTGAATCCGGAATTTACGAAGAAAAATTTACGAAGAGACGAAACGAGAAAATTCCGGATGCAATGAAGGCTATATACAACGGTTTTACTGCATTCTTATAGGGTATATTTTCAGTGGTGTGAAACAAACCCTGTAACTCAGACAAACTGGACTAAATAGACAAACATATGACATACAACTAGTCAAGATAACTTTAATTTTCTTAAATACTCTGAAAGATGCTGTCTAGGTTAACAATGGATTAGACAAGTTAAACTGATGAATGAAAGCCTTAGATTTTTGGATGTCACACTGGTTAACTCATCAATCAATATCAGTGTGTTAAAGTAGGTAGGCTCCATGAAATTCATATTTGAAGAAATTTTTACAAATGAATTCAAATCATGTACCAGCTTTATTTGATGACCTAGCTCTAAAAGTCACGAGAGAATTTGAGTACTAATTAAATTCATTGATGGTCGGCCTAAAGTACTAACCACTGGTCGCACTGTACGTTAAAGTGTATGATGGTCGGATCTCTGGTTGGACATATCTAAGAAATTATGAATCTGAAGAAAACTACGAACACTGGCCGGACAAAATACCTAACAAAATCCACCCTAGGGCCTCTGGTCGGACAATTTCTAGTAAGGTATTTCTGTAGAAAACTCCGATCGCTGGTCGGACAAAACGACTAAGAAAATCCACTGATGGAACCCTAGGGCTTCTGGGAAGGTATTTCTGTAGAAAACTCCGATCGCTGGTCGGACAAAACGACTAAGAAAATAATAGTCTGTTCAAACTTTAAACCTACGACCACTGTTCATAGTCGTATGTCAAAATCAATGAGAGTTGGTGGTCTAACTAAAAATCACACCAGTGGTTTATAGAAAATTCTCAAGACGGTCGGACAATGGTCGGACCAAACATTTTCCTACAGATTGATAATATACTCAATATATGTTGACTCGATCCTACATTACTCACAATGGTCGAATTCTTTGGTCGGAACGGCCGGTAACTAGGAATCATGTGAAGCTAGTCAAAATATAGAGCAGTTGTCGTATGACTGTGAAAAGCTCACGGCAAGAATACAGTCATGTCAAGGCAAGGCATACACCAGACCAGTCACATTGCACGAGAATTTACTCTCAACTGACCCAATCAAATGCCGAAACACGGCATGAACGCTGCGCGGACACGGTCACGCCAATGTCACGGCACTGCCAGGCCAATAACATTGCGCAAGAAAAAAATCCTCCAATCAAGCTTCAAGAAAACTTCACCGTCGCGCAAGGCACGCATATGGCACCGACGTTTTCACAGTTTTACGAAAACTGCTCTCTGTTCAAGGTGCTGTGTTTAAACAGCAAAAAGATTTCAGTAAGATTATTTTACTGTAAGCCGAGCTCACAATCTTCATATAACCTAATTATATTTGTCAATAAACTCATACGGATTTTCATACTCTCTCAGACTGGAATTTATGGAAAAAATATATAAATGATTGTTTTTTAAAGAAAAGAGATGTATAAACTTTACATTAAGTAAGAAGTTCACGAGTTTCTCGTAATGACTGGGCCTTGTTTGAGGTCGGTTTTGTAAAATTAAAACTTATTCACATCGTCAAATTCACTAAGTTCATAAGTCCTAAGTTTCATACCTTTGTCTTAAAACGTCGAAGAAAAACTACGATACTGGCAAATCAACATGTACATACAGAAGCACAAGACTGTTAATCAACCATCCTAAGCAGAACCATCATCTTTCTACGCTTCTCATCATGATAACTTATATTCAACTCTAAAAACAAACCCGAGTGCAGATATTTACATGTTTTTTCACCGCTCAAAGTATAAGTAAAATTACGTTTCCGACGAATATGCGTATAAAGCTGCTTATCTTGCACCCGTTTTGTCCTAAAAATGTAGCCAGCGTAGCGGCTCCCGGGGGACTCCCCCCCCCCCCCCCCCCCCCCGAGCCGCTACGTTGGCTATAATAATGTAGAAATAATTAACGCAATCTAACTATCTTAGAAAATTGTCTGACTGCTTCCAAAATTGCTTCAATTAACAATAAAATTGAAATAATTTCTGCGTAAGAAATAATCTTTTTTTGAACGATAATTTTTTGTCATATCTATTGCTATATTATCTATATTATATGTATCGTATACATAGCAATCAAATAAGTTTACAAAATCAATTTCTTTGGTTTCCATGACAACCAGGTCATGTTTTCGAGCCAGCGATGCGAGCAAGGTTTTGAAGGGGTCTTGTTGGGAGAGGACTGAAAGAAATGGAACAAGTCGCGTTGTTAGACTAAACTCACTACGTCACTACGTCTCCCACCTATCACTTGGCTTATAGATGGTCACGGCCATGATGGTTGATAATAAAGAGGGACTAATAACAGGGTTCGTGCTGAGGTAACCACTTAAAAAAATTTTTCTTGTTAATATGTTAAACTTTTTTTTTCTTTTCCCTAAAACTCCAGAAACCTTGTAATTACTGTTAATTGGTAATCTCCCACGATGAGCCTAGCTCTTGGAGAGAGCACAGAGAGTCAATATGTTTAAATAAAAAAATAAAAGATCAAGGAGTATTCAAGGAGTATACAAGGACCCAAAAATGAATTTTCAAGGAGTATGTTCAGCAAACTATGCCAAGGTTTTACACGGTTGTTGCACATGGCCGACTTTCAGATTATCCAATCTTTCTGACTAGATCTATTTCAGAACCATGCAAGTAATGATCAAAGCAAAAATTCAAGGAGTTTTTAAGAAGTTTCGCTAAAATCGTAAAATTCAAGAGCTTTTCAAGTGGCCTTGAAAACGTGAATTACATTCAAGGATTTTTCAAGGAGTTTAGGGAGTAGCACGAACCCTGTTGGATAAAGCCCAGAAGTCCAACTTTTTGGGTTCTCTCATGACTTTGTAGTAACATTTTGGTGAGAGAGAGGATATACTCCAATGTGTTTGATTTGTAATAACAAATCTTTCGTTCAATTGAACCAACATGGCAGCTTTGAAGACTAGCGGATTTTGATTGGATGACGTAACAGCCAAAAGACATTCCATTCTGGTTGCACTACTTCATTCCAGATAAAGTCAAACAAGGCTGTACTAGGGATTTACTAGTACTAGTATAGGATTTGTCTTAAGTAGACCCCTTGCAGCCCGTCAGAATGCAGCTCAATTTGGAGGACATAAAAAAGGTTTCCAATTCTCATGACATTGAAATTCTTTTGGTTTGTCCTGCAAATTGAGCTGCTTTGACGTCACATGCAAGAGGTCTATTGCCACTGTGGGAGAACAGCACCAAGTCCCTCTATTTCCATTGGTCACTGTCTGTGTTGGCCATAGTCTAATATCTCCAGGGGAGGTGGGTAGTTTGCAGTGTTATTACACACACTATTCTATTCAAAACAAGGGACRCTTCGTGTGACACAGAATTGAGAAATAGCTTATAGCGGAGGCAGGTATTCCAACATACCTTTTTTGTTTGAAAGCAGGTGCTTTCATAAGCTCTTTATATTGTTCACTACGTAGGAATCTGCTATAACTGTCTGACTTCATGAGTTGGAATATATGATCCTAAACAAAGTCAATGTCAAGATACAACATCAATATTTAATAAAGAGGCATCCTGGGGTTACTAAGAACTAACTCCCCCCCCCCCCCCCCCCCCCTCCCCATTTTCTTTGGATATTGTAGACACCTCTACATGTATTTTAGAGGTAGGGTCGGAATATATGATCCGTTTGTATGCATCCCCACCGCAACCACCACTGCAAGTGCCGACAGCAGTGCATAGTTTAATAAGGTCTGAAAACATGGCTTATTCCCTGGCAGCCATGTTAGAAAGCAGTGTTTAGGAATTAGGTACAATTCAACACGGTGGCATCCCGTTACTCTTTAAGTTCACAAAATATAAGTTGGCTCTCTAAGGGCATTGGTTAACTCACAGGTTGAGTGTTCTATTAATGGTTTTCAACCATTCCCAAGAGAATTAAATAAAAGACACGGCGGCCATGTTGGAGGATATAACAAAAGAATTCATTGACAATGGCCGCCGTGAAAACCTTCTATTCAAGAGAAGGAACTTTAATCTTCAATCTCACCTGTGCAGCATCAAACATATATCTACCAGGATTCTTTAGATTCAGTTCTACTTCTTCATGTGTTTTGCAATCTACGTTGATGGGAGATGTTGCATCCTTGGATAAGTATTCACTATCACAGAGGAAAAAGAAAACTTTTAAAGCAACTGGACAATCATACTGTACATAGCTCACATTGGTATGCAAGCAAAAAGGGGGATTTCAACAATGTATAGTGGTACGTCCCTCTGCCTACCCCTTCTACTAACTACAGAGAGTGAAAAAAACCCTTTTACAGTTGGTTTCACAAAACTTCGGCCGCTTTACTTCTGAAGTTGGTTCCCAAGTTCTCCAAGTTGGTCCTGGACTTGCATACGTTTTGTGAAATTGGTTCAATCAACCGTGACTTGTTTATGTCTAGAATTCAAATATTTACTGGAATTGCTTCTTTAAACCATAAACCTTTCAAAAATTGTATTCCAGACAACGTACAGAGTCAAATTCCTTTTGTCGCAATAAAATTTTGAAATTTGAATTTGAACGGTAGATTTGATGAGTTTTAGAAGCTACTGTGTTATCAGTTTGAAAGATTGCCGACAACCGTCGGAACTTCTTAGTGAAATTGATTACAAAGTTGTGAACTTGCGAACGAACTTCAGACATGGAATGGCCAAAGTTTTATGAAATCAACTGTAAGAACTGAATTAGAATGACTAAGTAAGGAATTATGTTTTAGGGCAGATATTGTTTAGCTGCATGCCTGTGATCCCATCTGCCTACCCCTTCTACTAACTACAGAGAGCGAAAAAAACTTCAAAGAACTGAATAAGATTGACTAAGTAAGAAATTATATTTTAGAGCAAGTATGGTTTAACTGCATGCCTGTGGTCCCCTCTGCCTACCCCT